GCAGGGTGATGATATATAGCCTTGGCATACTCCTTTCATGACTTTGAAACAGTCCATTGTTCCATGTCCAGTTCTAACTGTTAATTCTTGTCCTGCATACAGGTTTCTCATGAGGCAGGTAAGGTGGTTTGGTATTCCCATCTCTTTAAGAATTTTCCACAGTTTGTTGTGATCCACACAGTCAAAGTCTTTAGCATAGTCAATGAAGCAGAAGCTTTTCTGGAATTCCCTTTTTTTTTTCTATGATCCAATGGATGTTGGCAGTTTGATCTAGATATGTTAATTAATTTAATCCTCACAGTAACACCATGTAATTAATGTTATGTATATATGATTGTAGTTTTTTTCTTTGTTTGTGGGCTTCCCTGTGTCTAAGGCTGTAAAGAATCTGCCTTCAATGCACAGTACCCAGGTTTGATCCCTGAGTCAGGAAGATACCCTGGAGAAGGGTATCTCCAGGGTATCTGGAGAATTCTTGCCTGGAGAATTCCATGGACAGAGGAGCCCAGTGGGCTACAGTCCATGGGGTCGAGGAGTCGGACATGACTGAGCAGCTAACATAGACACACACACACATATATGATACATATGTATATATATAAAAACTGAAAGTTGATTAACTCACTCCAAGTTGTCTAATATAACTGGCAGAGTTGGAGTTAAAATCAAGCCTCACTGATCCTGAAGCTACTTTGCACCAAGGTTTGATTCTTCTCAGTCCTTTCTGATTTTCTAGAGTGCCCTCTGAAAGGGAGACATCATAATGAGAATGAGAATCATTAGAGAATAGCAAGATAGAATCACCGAGATCGGAATTGTCCTTGGAAACCTGGGGTGTGCATGAGAACCTCAGTCTACTGAACAGTCACAGAGCAATAGGAAATGGTTAGCAGTGGGGACAGGACCTTAGGTTATCTCCCGGTTTACTTACCTCCCCTTTTCCAATCACCATCACCCCCGGATACCGAGAGAACATGGAAAGTGATTGCAGAACTACTAAGAAGTATGGGAATCGGGGGAGGCAATGCTGAGCCTGGATCATGGTAGAAGACTGATTCTGGAAGAAAAGATCAGAATTCTAAGGTGAAAAGGAACTACTTAAGCAAAAGATAACCCTCAAATTTCCTAAAAGTTAGGGAGCTGTGGGAGGAATAGTAATTCCAAGCCATTCCATTGGAATTGGGATTAAAGGATGAGCAATAGGTGCTCTTGTTGAAAACAAATCTTGCTGGAGAAAACCAAGGAAAGAAGATGCTACAAACCATGGCCTCATCTTGTTTGCAGATCCCTTACTGATTGGTCTCCAATGCAGTCTGAACAGGATTTGATCCTTCTAGTGCATTCTTTTCTTATGTGGGTATGGTGACAGTTATTGCTACAAGCAGAAAAGTTTAGTAGGCAGTGTGGTATATATGTCAGACCTATGCCAGAGCTTGTTCTCACGGCAGCTCTGCATATGCATTTCTTGGGTTACATAAATCATTGCTCATCTTTGTCTCATTTTTCTTTTCTGATGCACAAGTCAGCATGTTGAATTCATTGAACTAACTTGTGCATGTGGGCAGGGAGATTGGATTATGAAGTGTGTATTTCAAACAAATTGTGCAAAATGAAGTAACGAGCTAAGGCGCTCAGCCACTTCTTCAGTATTAAGCAAGTATGGAATTAGTAATGAGTAAAAGATTCAGATTTGAGGCCCTGAAAAAAAGTATGTTCATTTTTTTATGTCTTTGATTTGAATACATTTTTAAAACACAGACATTTAAAACAAAGACATTCAAAAACATAAAACATTTTTGAAGAAATTTTTAAGTAAACATGTTAAAGATAACACAACACACCCATATTCCCACCACCTAAAATTGTTAACATTTTGCCACATATTCTTTAAGATTTTATAATTGAAAATGAAATATTGTGGATAAAAATGAAATTTATTTGACATTTGTTGTTGTTGTTCAGTTGCTAAGTTGTGTCTGACTCTTGCAACCCCATGGACTGCAGCAGGCCAGGCTTCCCTGTCCTTCAGTCTCTCTAGAAGTTTCCTCAAACTTATGTCCACTGAGGCAGTGATGCCATCCAACCATCTCATCCTCTGCCACCCTCTTCTCCTTTAGACATACTACCGCCCAAAGTCATTCTCTTCTTCCATCTTTCTAGCGATAACCTCCATCATGAAATTAGTCTCTTTCCAGTCTGCATATAAGTATAAATAGATGTTTACATGCAGATGCAGGCATCTGTGAACAGTCTTTTGTGGGCACTACTCCTCAACATATACACAAGGTAGCATAACTCACACACAGTAACAATAGTAGTGAACATATGTTGAGTGATTACACTCTGCCTGGAGCAGCACTTTCTCAGTCCTTTCAATGACTCAGCATAGCCCACACTATTGTTATCTCCTTTTCAAGGTGCACAGAGATGTCACTTGCCCAGGGTCACACAGCTGATAAGTACTGGGGCGGAGAATTAATCCCGCAGTCAGGCTCTGGAGCTGAGCACTTCACCACTAGGCTAGATGGCCTCTTCACTCTGTCACCCTGCAGAATTTGTCACTTTTTTGATATCATGTTTCTGACATCCACAGTTTTCATTCACCGATGTAGTTTATTCATTTTCACAGTTTTACCGCATTCTGTTAAATGAATATAATATATAAGCATCACTGCACTGTGCTTGGGCTTTCCAGATGGCTCAGTGGTAAAGAATCTGCCTGCCAAGGCGGGAGATGCAGAGACTCGGCAAGATCCCCTGGAATAGGCAGTGGCAACTCACTCCAGTATTCTTGCCTGGAGAATTCCACGGCCAGAGGGTCCTGGTGGGCTACAGTCCGTGGGGTCACAAAGAGTCGGACACGACTGAGCACATGCAGACAACATGGTGCTTAAGACCTATAAAATGCAAACAGTGAAAGTTTCTGTCTCACAGGCTTGTTGGGAGAATTAGATGGCTTAATTCAAATAAAGCAGGTAGAGGAGTACCTAGCATAGAGTACCCACCCTGTAAATGTCAGCTGTTGCTGTTTGCTCTTATCATCTATCCTGTATCCTCTTGAACCTGATTATTGGGTTGTTTTCAATTTTTCATTATTGCATATATTGCAACAATGAAAGCCCTGTGTCTAATTATAACATTTTCTTTTGGGTATCTCCCTAGAAGAGGAATTGATAGCTCATAGGGTATGTATGTGTTCAGTTTCACTTGATGCTGCCAAAGCTTGCTGTATACGTTCACACACCCTCATACATGTTTTGGGTTCCTATCACCCATTATTGACCTCAATGTTAGTTGACATTCTCTGACTGTTAGCTTTTCCAATCTGATGGTTGAAAAATACTGCCTTGTTGAACTGATAAACTGAGTAAAAAATAATGTCATGTTGTGGAATTGGTTTTTTTATAACAACTTTATTGAGATATGATTCACATGCTGTAAAATTTATCCCTTTGAAAGTGTTCAATTCAGTGGTTTTCCATATATTCACAAGGATCTGCAATCATCACTGATACCTAGTTTTAGGAGAAACCCCTTATTCATTAGCAGTCCCTCCCACTTCTCCACTGTCCCCAGCCCCTGGCATTGCTACTCTACTTTATGTTTCTCTTATTTGCCTACTCTGGACATTGCATATAAATGGAATCATATAGTATGTGGGTGTTTGTAGCTGGCTGCTTTCATTTATTTTAATAAAATGGATTTTTTTAGGTTCATCCATGATGTAGCTTTCATTCAGCAGTTTATTCCTTAGTATGGTCCAGGACTTCATTCCTTAAAATATTCTGTTGTGTTAATATACTGCCATTCGTTTATTCATTTATTAACTGATGCAAATTTGGACTGTTTCTACTTTGGCTGTTTTAAATAATTTTAAATAATGCTGCTATAAAAATTCAAATGTATATTTTTTTATAGACAAATATTTTCATTTACTTGGATATACATATATTTATATGCCAAGTAGTAGAATTGCTGGGTCATATGCTAACTATGTTTAACATTTTGAAAAGCTGCCAAACTGTTTTCCAGTGTGACTGTACCATTCTCTAGTTCCATCAGCAGTGTATAAGGATTCTAATTTCTTCACATCCTCATCTCCAATGCTTGTTATTGTCTTTCTTTTTAATTCTATCCATCCCTAGGGGCTAGGAGTGGTATCTCCTTATGGTTTTGCCTTGTAATTCTCTGAGTGATGATGTTGAGCATCTTTTCATGTGCTTATAAGCCATCTGTCTGTCTTTGGAGAAACGTCTAGTCAAGTATTTTGCCTGTTTTTTAAGTTGGGTGATTTGTCTTTTTATTTGAGTTTGTAAGCTATCCATGTAATCTGAATGTAAGTCCTTTATCAGATACATGACTTACAAATATTTTCCCCATTCTGTAGGTTGTCTTTTGACTTCCTTGATGTGAACTGGGGATTTTTTTATTGTTTTTTTCTGTGCTGCAAGGCTTGCAGGATCTTAGTTCTCCAACCAGGGATTGAACCCGAGCCCCTGACAGTGAAAGCACCAAGTCCTAACCACTGGACAGCCAGGGAGCTCTCTGGTGGATTTTAATATTTGCAGTTTTGCATGTTTCTCCAAAATTTTGGTTTTTCAGATTGTCTTTATCCTGTCTGCTGAGTGGCTCACAAGCCAGATAGCCTTGGGGTGTGCCCTTAGAGTGCAGGGAGTCCATCCAGTGCTCCATAGATCAGAAACTCTTACCTTGGTCACTAAAGCACAGATTTCCCAGGCAGATCTCAGTGAGCTGCTCAGTTCTGGAGGAAGGTCAGTTTTGATACCCCAGTGGAGATACCCTCACAGAGTCTGAATTTAATCATGAAAAGCCCTGAAAAGCCACCCCTTATATTTCAGACTGCTAACTGATTAATTCAACAGCATTTGGATTTCTGTTTAACCTGACCTCTTTCTTCTTTCCTTTTTTTCTCCTCTTTCCTTTTTTTCTCCTCTTTTCTTTTCCTCCTCTCTCCTCCCCACTCCCTGTTTTGATTTCAGATTGAAAATGGCTCAGGAATCAGTCAGCAAGTTAACAGCAGAGAAGAAAGTGGAGACAAAGAAAATCAATCCCACGGCTAGTCTGGTGAGATGCATTTTTCATCACAACCTCAAGATTTTTCATTATAACTGAGGTGCACCCAGGAGTGGGCCTAAATCTAAGGGATAAAACTCAGAGGGATGAGTAGTATACATATTCTCAGTTCCCATCCCAGGATTCCATGTGGTAAGAAGGGACATAGGAGAGGACAGAGTAAGGAGCGAAACCCGGCTTTGTGCTCTTCCAGCAAATTCAAACTGGTTATTGGTTTCCCAATAAACCAAGTGTAGTCACTTGCCATTTCACACCCTTCTCCATTGCACCTCATGCCAGGATCCCCTTCATCTCAAAGTACCCTTCTCCTGAACTTGTTGAAGCATTTTACCCTCACCAATTCCTTATCCTTGTTAGAGAAAGGGACAGGGAGTAGCCTCTTTTGATAGTTGGTAAAACTGAGATGCAGAAAGATACAGCCTACCTAAGATCACTTCTGAAACGGTTAACAAAAACACAGAACCAGACTGCTGACTGGTCCCCTGACTGCTCTCCCTAGGATAGAAACTAGCAGACTAGTGTGTCTTCCTAGCCATGAAGGGAAGCTGTCCTCCACAGTCCCACTGGCATTACTGATCACAAGGAATCTCCACGATACAGTGGGAATAGCTGAACGGTTAGGAACCCAAGGTATAGAGGTTCAAGTCCCAGCTTAGCCACTTACTAGTTGTATTTTGCTAGTTGTGAAGTTACTTTGCTTTCTTATTCTTCACTAGTACTTTTGCAAGTTGCTTTAAATCCTTTGAACACCCAAGTGGGGGTATAGTGAGATGATTTCTGTTAACCAACGATGCTGTCCTCCTAACAACCTCATCAGCAGCTCAGCGAATGTTGAGTGAGAAACAGGGAAGTCAGGGCCGTAGGACTTCATCAGGGACAGCCCTGGTTGGCTTACAGAGCTCCTACCTGAATGGAAACATTCTGTGCCCATTTGGTGGCGTATTTGGTACACTCATCTTTATATGGTAGGTCTATATTTTTGGTGGCAGTGGGCTCAACTCAGATTTTTGTCTTCTTCCCTCATTATCCACTGCTCCTTCCCCAGGCCTCTGTCCTCTCATTTCTAGGGCATTTGGTACAACTCTATTCAGCATCATAGATCAACATTTGAGAAACATATCAAAATTTGAGAAAGGTGAAAATTTAGAAAAAAGGAATAATAATTAACTCAACTTTTGTCTCAAATAACAGAAGGAAAGACTGCGTCAGAAGGAAGCCAGTGTGAGCACCAACTAACACAGAGATGTGGGAAAGCAATGATGGTGAGGCATAGTACCCGCATGATCCTCTGTAACACCAATAGATACAGCCTACCTAAGATCACTTCTGAAACGGTTAACAAAAACCAGAACCAGACTGCTGACTGGTCCCCTGACTGCTCTCCCTAGGATAGAAACTAGCAGACTAGTGTGTCTTCCTAGCCATGAAGGGAAGCTGTCCTCCACAGTCCCACTGGCATTACTGATCACAAGGAATCTCCACGATACAGTGGGAATAGCTGAACGGTTAGGAACCCAAGGTATAGAGGTTCAAGTCCCAGCTTAGCCACTTACTAGTTGTATTTTGCTAGTTGTGAAGTTACTTTGCTTTCTTATTCTTCACTAGTACTTTTGCAAGTTGCTTTAAATCCTTTGAACACCCAAGTGGGGGTATAGTGAGATGATTTCTGTTAACCAACGATGCTGTCCTCCTAACAACCTCATCAGCAGCTCAGCGAATGTTGAGTGAGAAACAGGGAAGTCAGGGCCGTAGGACTTCATCAGGGACAGCCATGGTTGGCTTACAGAGCTCCTACCTGAATGGAAACATTCTGTGCCCATTTGGTGGCGTATTTGGTACACTCATCTTTATATGGTAGGTCTATATTTTTGGTGGCAGTGGGCTCAACTCAGATTTTTGTCTTCTTCCCTCATTATCCACTGCTCCTTCCCCAGGCCTCTGTCCTCTCATTTCTAGGGCATTTGGTACAACTCTATTCAGCATCATAGATCAACATTTGAGAAACATATCAAAATTTGAGAAAGGTGAAAATTTAGAAAAAAGGAATAATAATTAACTCAACTTTTGTCTCAAATAACAGAAGGAAAGACTGCGTCAGAAGGAAGCCAGTGTGAGCACCAACTAACACAGAGATGTGGGAAAGCAATGATGGTGAGGCATAGTACCCGCATGATCCTCTGTAACACCAATACTACAAGAAGTCTTCAAAAGATACGTCACTCAATGTTTATTTTGCTCATCTCTTTCTGAGCACCCTGTGCCTTCTTAAAGAAGCCCCTTGTTAAGCCATAGGAACAACGAAATGCTGCTGAAGAAATATTTGAGAACTTCCAGAAGTCCAAAGTTTGCTCTGCTACAAGACCAGAGAATTACCAAGATTTTTGAGTTTTTCTTCTTCTTTTTTTTTTTTAAATCAGAGACCTCAAGCTTTCTAACCCAGGCATGATATATGTAAACTTGTGACAGAAGAAGAGATGAATTTTTTGTGACAGCTGCCTTGAGCAAGTTCAAGCCTTGATCTTTACAATAATCAAGCCTGCTGGTTTGATTATTGATCTTAATTTTGATTCTATTGCAGCAAGATCCTGAAGCACCCTTCTTGCCAAAAATGTTGAGACTTACCAGAATTATTTTAAGAGGCCCAAGACTGTATGCCCCACACTCAAGAAATGGTTATTTTTTCATTGTTTTTCATGTGCTAGAAAGAACAGAAAATGGATTTGTACATGGATGGAGAAGGGGGTTAAATAGTCATAAACTTCTTTCTGGAGAATAAATTATAATACAGGTCGTTGGCATCAGCCATTTAGCAAGACCCATTCTTCCGTTTTCATATCAGTTCATTGAGGTTTCCCAGGCCACTAGGAATTCTCTACCCTTTCTTAAAAAAAAAGAAAAAAAAAACAACTATGATAACTGAGCAGCAACTTGGGGTCAAAGCATCTGCTTTGATGAGTGACCCAGTATCAGTCAGAGTACATTTCACACCTCAGATCATCTATGAGTGGACCCACCATGTTGACCTGCCACTAAACTGTGTACACCATGTTCCGGGACTGGATATGGCTGGACCTCTCCCACGCACCCCAGGAGGCAGTGTCTACACAAGAGAGAAAATGCTGCTTGCAGCTAGTTATCATGACCTGGACTGACAGACATGTGACCTATGGTTGAAGCAGGAGGGGTTAATGTCCCAAAAAGAGAGAGTAGAAAAAAAAGTTCTTTACATCAAAATGGGAAGAGGGTGATTACATTGATAATGAATTTTGAGTTCAGTAGGCAGTTTTTTCTGACCCTGGAAGCCTGTGTGATTACTGCCTCTAGAGTCACAGGAAAACCACCTTGGACCTCTCTCCTGACATTTTTTCCTTAAACCACTCTCCTATGCTGTGAGAGGAGAAGAGAGGAGACTTGGGGTGAACTGAAGTAAGGATCAAAGCCTATCAGGTTTCAGTCTTGAAAGGAGAGAGGTCCAAGCTTTCTCCTCCCAACTGATGGAAGACCATCTAGAGAAGAGCAGAAACCTTAAAACCCTTCCCCATCTGCTGGTCATGTGTGAGCTGCCCCTTGCCCCAGCATCTTGCCAGAATCGCTCAACTGGCCAAGTACCTGAGTGTCTCCCCAGGACCTGCCTGCTGGTTATCAGCCCCCACGGGGACCCCATAATAGATACAACCAATTAAAGCAGCACCATATCCTAATACAATGCCCAGGAATGCAGTCAGGATCAAATCTAGTGACAAAGCCATATTCCCGCAGGTGCTAGCCACTCTTTCTAATAATTAAAAAAAGGGGGGGATATAATAACATGGTTTGTTTTTTTTTTCCAAAAAAAATAAAAGAATGAGACAAGCAAAACAGAAGAGCTGGTAAGAACTTACATGACTAATAGTAGTTGCTTGTGAGCAAGCCTTTCATACTGCTTTCTTCGATTGTTTTTCTCTTCATTTTCACTTAATGGTGAGGACCTAAGAAATTCCTCAATTTGAAACAAATCTTGCTTACAGCTACCCTATGCTCTGTGACAGTCCTTCTGGTATTATCAGACAAAAGAAAAAGGACCTGTTTTACCCATGCTCAAGTTGGATTTCATTCTAGTGGACAGACCAGAAATTGGCAGTAAAATAAAACCTTTTCTAAAGAGCAAAGTTTGCCTACCTCTGTTGGGAAAACCTAGTGAGTGCAATGTACCATTAGTGTGTGAAGACACCATGGCAGGATCCCAATGATTCTCACCCAATTTGCATCCTGCATTAGGTATCTGGACACCCCTCCCAAGTCCATACATGGACTTCAGTGTGACGGTGCCCTCATTCGTAACTTGACCTGATGCTTGGTAAAAGTTCACAAGACTTTGTCTAAGGTGGACCATCTAAAACAACCTGGAGGCCCTGAGAGAATGACCCATCCAAAATGCAGCTGAGATTGTGTTAACTACACATGAGTAAGCAGTTGGGGTACACTTAGCAGCTTGGGCATGTCTGGCTGTTCTTAGCACAGCCCTGCCTGCATAAAAGGGACAGTGGCCAGTACTTCTACTCTGCGTCTAACCAGACATATTTGACTTACTAGTCAGATTCAGAGAAATACCTTAACTTATAACAACATCATCTCTGCCTAGTTAAGATTCATTAAAGCTGAGGGCACAGTGGATAGCAATTCAGATTCTTGCATAACCTGCATAATCATCGAGCACACAAGTATATCATATATGACGTAAAAGCATTATATAAACATGTTAGGTAAAGAACAGGCCTATGAAGTATTGAGGATCAAGTGAGCAGGGGAGGGGGTGCTATATGGCTTTTTAACCCAAGAAGAGGCAGTATATGGGCAGAGGCATGTTAAAAAAAAAAAAAAAAAGGGAAAAGGTAGCCAACAAGAAATGAATGGAAATGAATGGAAATGAATGATATGATGATAGTCAAGGCCCAGGAATCACAGGTGATAGACCTGCTGCTCAGAAGTTACCTTTTGAATCTTTGGGTTGATGTCTATGAAATCTCTTTAAACATTCATTGCAACTACCCAGAAACTATGAAGAAAAAAGTCTGAAATTTGAGAAGTACAATAAAGAGATCCAGTCATGCTCTTCCATCTTCAAATGTTTTAGCCAAAAGAGTGGGCAACATGATGAGAAACTGAATGCCAGGTTGGACTCCAGCCTCCAGTCCTCTTTTCGTCCCGGTGAGAACACTAGAAGCTGCACACCTGCTCAGCTGCTCTGATGCACCTCCTTTTCTCATAAATACCGTAAGGAAAGGCATTTCCCTAAAAGCTCATATGCTGTTGGTGGAGATTAAAGGAAGGAATAACTCTTTGGTAGTATTCAGCAAGGTGAAGAAGTCATTGGTACAGTCCTTCCAAGACTGTGATCAGATGTATCAAAAGATATGTAAGTGTACTTTTGATAAAGGTTTGCTTGTTGGACTGGGATTGCACATCTCTCTCTCTCGATTATACCACCTACATGGGGAAATTTTAATTTTACTTCTTTGTTGGACATCATATTTTATTTCTATTTCATTCTTGCCTGTGTCACTGACATAGATTGTTGCACACAGCAGGCAGCACCTAGTCAGCCAGAATATGAAAGGGAATTAGCAGTGCAGACCAGTGGGCTCTTTCCCAGTAACCAGACTGTAACATTGACATGGGAACTTCATTCCCTGATATTCTAAATTGGTCTGTTTTGTAGTAGTGCCGCCCTTGCCAAACAAAAATAAAACCAATTTGGAGCTTTCTGTGTGAAGAGGAAGGAAGAAGTCAATAAAACATAGCTTTCCCCCTCAAAATAACTGATGCAAATATCAAATATCCCATTCTATAATTAGGGTAAATAGTCTAAAACTTGCTAACAAGGACTCTCCACTAGATTTGAGTTTCATTTTTCTTTGATCTTGCCCATTCTCATCATTTTAAAACAAAAAGACCAAACAGTAGAAGGGGAAAAGAAGCATCAGAGATTTGGAAGTTGACAAATTAATTAGTTCCTGAATCACAAAAGAAGGACATATTGTGAAACCCAGTGTTGTAGAGGTCCTAAGCATATAAGAATTTGAACAGCTGTGAGGGCTGATGAGTGTGGACAAAGCAAAAGCTCTTAACTGCCCACTTGAGACTTCAGCCTAAACCAGGCAATTTTCAGAGTGGATTTAAGAGAGTGAAGTGTTGCTCTGAACAATTCATTTTTGGAAAAATCACCTACAAAGAGAAGTGGTATGTAGAGAAAGAAGTGTTAAACAATTAAAATTTCCTTTCTCTGATTCTTTTGTAAGAGCAGTTCATAAATGGATGGACCATCCAGAAAACCATGAATACCACACCTCATTTATCAGGTTTTTACTGTAGAAACACAGCTAAAGAGAGTGGACTGAATAAAGAAATGGACTTTCATTCATGTCAGCTACTTTGTTATCATAAAGAAATCTACAAGAGAAGTCTGTGCAGACAAGTCTACAGTATTTGAAATGAATGGCTAGTTTTTAACTTTTCCAAAATGTAAATAACTCAGTTGATCATATTTCCATTTTCCAGCTATGGAGAGAAACAGTCTGGCTGGTTGGAACCTTGTCTGTTATTGGTGCAGAAGTCACTTAAAGGCACCTTTTGGCACAGACCTCAGTGGTCTGGCTCCCTGCGACTCACATAATTGTATTTATAACTCCATTACTGATTGAATCCAGGCATCACTGGGCTCACTTACATCGCTGTATGTGACTTGGAGGCTCATTTTGTGTCATTTCTGCAAACACGTCAGTTGTTGACACCTTGTTAGAGGCACTGAAATTTAGTTTCACAGTTCTTCATTTCCCCTCCCAGGGAGCGGGCAATCTATCAGACCCTCCCAGATCAGTGCTTTGCTGGGAAGTAGTGAATTCCAGAGTATTAACATGTCTTTAATAAAACTACATATAAGTAGTTTTATTTCTTCCAAGACCCTTAATCAACACTGTGATATAAACTTAGCATTTGGGAAATTTTTGTAGTTGACAGCTGACTTGGAAATGTGAAGATAGGAAAGTGTCAGCAAGATGTCTCTGTTTCTTAAGGTGCCCATGAGGTTTCTACCAATGAAGAGATTAGCGGGGCAAGTCAAGCCTCATCTGGTAGGTCAGACTGTCCTCACTGGTGCTTCTGGATTCATTTCCTCTCCACCCCCAGCTCCTCTCTCAGTCATCCTGGTGATAAACAGTAACACAGAGGACCTTCTTCTCGTCCTCCCTTCTCTGATATGTTGGTTCACTTTAGTCAGAGCTCAAACTCATTCTTGCGTATTATGTCTCTGGAGTACTTGTTCATGAATATCTTTTTCACGCCATCATCTGGGAAAGACTGGTTTAATCTCAAGTTTTTATATAGAGTGGTGGCTAAAGCCATTAATTTATTTACATTCCATCTCATATAACTTTCTATTTTTTAATATTTTCTTAAATATACTAAGAATCTCCATTGTATCTCCTTTTCTGAAAGCTTATTCATAGACTTCTGTGGGCTGGTTTGTTGTTTTTTGTTTTTTTTTTAATGCTTTGTGTGAAATTCAGTAGCACTGAATGCAAATGAGCATTCAGAGCAAAATGCAAATGAGCCCAATTTCCCACAGCAACTTGGCCTTCTTCTCCATGGAATAAACAACCTTCTACCACCCTTAAGCTGTTTTGTAGGCTGTTTGCCTAAATTCTACCCGTGCAGACACCAAAGGGTTCTTCTGTCTTTGAAGCTGTAAGAATGTCTTAAAAGAGAATGAGTACTTCTCCCCATATATAGTGTGAGCTGGCAGTGTGTTATACTTAGTATATCAAGTAAGAAATCTAATGTTTTCAGGCATGCATTCCCAGAGGTCTGTCAACATCTTTGGCAAAATTATACATGCTTTCCTTCCCTGTTCTCTTCTCAGACTTGCTTCCACTCTTGTCTCATGAAACAAATGTATTTTTGTTTATTCATATGGGTCAGCTTTCCAGAAGGAGAGGCTAGTCCCATGGACCATTGAGTATAAAGGAAGTTACCCTCCACTGCCCCATGACATTGTTGATAGGTGTGTTTAGGAATGCACAACTTTCTGGGATCTCTTGGGATGGATTTTTGAATTCCAGGTTTCCATGAAGTATATAAAATTGTATACATAGCATACAAAGATTATATTGTTCTCCTCCGTAAGAGATTAAGAGCTTTATAATCTATACATCTTAGATAGATTTCAGTGAACTATAAGTAGCTCATTTTTCCCCCTTTGTTCTTGGCAACTTGTTCCTATCTAAAATCTTATTCCTTTACATCTGACCACCAAGGCATGAAGTGTCAACCCACTCAGATTGCCCCCTGCATAATCCTCTAAAGATGTCCATTTCCTTCAGAAACAAATGCATGGGTAAGAGGGGAAAGTCTAGTGGCCATTCTCTTAGCCCAGGGTGGCACACAAGGGATTTTGAGCTAAGTCTATGCCAAATATTAATTTTACAATTCTTTAATTTCTCAAAATACAAATAATGTGACCCTACTGTTAGTAGGATGTAGAATCTTTGAAGAACATAAGCATTAAGGGGACTTCTCTTTAAAGAAACAATCGAAGATATTCCTCAAAAGAAATTTTTAAAATTAGAAATTGAATAATTTTTAAGATTCCTTGGAGAAAACATGTCATTGATTCATCATAGTCTTGTCCTTTTCGTTGAGTTTTAATTTAGACTAGCATGGGAAGCAGAGTGCCCCTGGACTTTGATTTAGGGGATCGTGCTTTGGCCTGAAGAGTCAGTACTGGCCTGCATGCCCAGAACCCAAATGAAGTCTGTCAGTGTCCTAATGAGAATCAGGCCTAACAGAAATGTAAATTATTTCAAGACCTTTGGGGTTTAATTTTCTTAGCAAACACCCTCGATCCTGTTTCCTAAAATTAATTTGATCCTTGCAGTTATGTGTCTTCATTTCGCCTTATGAGATTGCAAGCAATGGATGATGGAGAAAAATAGACAGTAGAAAAGGAAAATTTGAACAAGGTCAGGGTGTAATGTTTTGCTGATATAATGCATTGTTAGGGAGCTGGTGACTGTTGCCATGGTTGTATCGTGGGCAGTCTTTCAACCGAAGCTCAGGGCATATGCATGAGGGCAGTGGGTGCCCGGTGTCTCGTATTGGTCCACACT